TCTCTGTGAATAAAGGGCAGAGATGCTGATGGAGACAGTTATCTAAAGCAAAGAGCCGTCAATTAGCTAGTCTGGGCTCTGCGCGGGCAGCACCCCGGCCCCACGCGCCGTCCTGGGGGTCTGGCGGGGTGTCCTCGGCACCGAGCCCGCTCGGGAACCTCCCCTCGGCTATCAGATTTGGAAAGGATTCACCAATTGTCTCTTCGTCCCCCTCATCTTCAGGCCGCCTCCTTTCCTTAGTTATTTTAATAATCGGAAAATCAGGTAAGACCTTTTTTGGAGCCCACTGTGCTAATCTACAAACTCTACTTTCCTCCGGAAAAATAAAACCAAACCAACTTAATCCTTAAAATAAAAGCTCTGGGTAGTTGACGGTATCTCAAGATGTCCCATAACGCTGTCCAACTCAACAGGGCTATCTCTACACCTGCGGCACCTGTCGTGTCTTACGATGCACTGCCCTTGGGAGGCAAGGACGGCTGCAAACTACCGCTCATTGCTTTCTCCTCTGTTAAGAACCACACCAAATCCAGAAACGTCAGAGTCAGACAGCAGGGATATATAATAGAGAGAATGAGAGAGAGGGGAAATAAAAACAAAACCAACAGACAAACAGAAGAAAAACCAGGAAAAGAACAGGATAAACAGAGTATGATCCAAAATAACAAGAATAACTGGTTGTATGGCCTGCAGGTTGTGGCTTTACATTGACTCAGTTTTACTTTTTGTTTTAAGGGAGAGTGGTAAATTTTGGAAGCTGCTCGTCTGCATTTTGGGGAATTTTCCTCTGAGAGGCCATCCATGTTAACTCCAGAGCGGGATCCAATTTCAGTAGGTGAAGAGCACGACGACAGGTACAAAGGTGAGGAGCAACAGGGAGCTTATTTCACGCCAGGGAATATGAGAGTCTTGCAAGAACCGCTCACCTTCAAATAAATAAGTGACCCGACAGAGATCTTTTCTCCTCCCTCTGTCCACTTAATAATGTAAAGGATAATGAAAACATGACAGTTTCACACCATCTCTCTTGCCAAGTATATGCAAGACAATTCTAACAGCAGGACAGAAATAATGAGGCAAACAACCACAGCATCTGGCAGAACGACATTCAGTGGCCACCTTGACCCTCATAATGACGGCTCTCCAGCCCTCCTATTCACAAGCACACTTTCCATGGGAAGTGCTGAACTGCTGTTACACAGCCCGGGGTGTATGACAAAGTCTGTCTAGAGCAGCTCTGCCACAAAAACTTTGGACACTCAGCTAAGCTGCGCAAAGCCACCAACGTGAAGGAGTAGGTTGCTCTCCTCCTCCAGTGGATACCTCGCCCTAGCTCAGCAACTTCATCAGAGAAAGCGCCCAAGCGTGGCTCAGCAGCTGAACGTCGCTGGGCGACATTCCCCACTCGCGGAGGTGCCCTAGCTCCACTGCTGGCCGTCAACGTTCGCCCCTATGCATGGCAACTACGTTTGGCTTGGCTTAAACCGAGGTCTGCTGTCCAGGCAATGGGGCTAGATGTTTCTCGGCTGCAAGGGAGATGGCACCAGCTTGATCCTGGAGTTAAAAGATGTCATCTCCCACAGCCAGGAAGGGAACAGCAACCCTGGCACCCCGTCTTTCCACCAGCTTCAGTGAGGGACCAATGCTGTGACATCCCTTCCTCCAGAGACTCAGGCTCTGCGCTCAGGTTCTGCTCCACGTTCCACATGGCAAGGTAAGGGGTTAGGGCTATTAGAGTTTTAACCACGTTAGCCTGCGGATCAATACATGCTAAAAACTAAAGACAACCATGCAACTTAAATGTTAAAAAGAAAGAAAGAAAGAAAGATAGAAGACAGCAAGTGAAGGCTGTAAACCATGCTTTATTAGAGCAACGTTAAAAGACAGAAAAAAATTAATTTGGTGGGCTCAAAACAGAACCTGTTAATCCTTCTACCATCAACAAACAACGTGGGAAGCCTCTGGCTCTTGGCTAAGGACAGTTCTGCTGCTCTTTCTCCCCTCCCCTCTCCTCTGTCTCACCACTTCCTAGCTTCAGCTGTGCAACGCTACCAGGGCCACAGTTCACGTTTGGACCTTCTCTACAGCTCCAGTGGCAAAGCAGAACAGTGACGCTTCACAAAGCTCACTGATAATACCTCTGTGGAAAGGTGGGTTCTCACAATTTGGAGACTGCAGGGCTCCCCCCAGTCCTCAAATTAAAATAATTTGCAAGCAGAGACCCAAGCTCTGCCTGCCTCATTGATGGTGGTACAGAAGCCATTCAACTGGATTGCTCTGAACCTACAAGGCAGTTAACTATTTCACTGGAGGCAGTTTTGAATCTAGTATGCCAAAAATTCAAAAATAATTTTTTTAATACTATTTAAGTTCTGTGGCCTGAAAGGAAGAGTTCCTATGGCAAAGCAGACTTAAACCAGGTCTACCTGACTTTCCAACTCTGCAGAGTTAACAACCGTTAGAAAACTAAACCCACTGGTCTGCCACCTGAATTTTCCTTTGACTGGGATTAAGGGAGCAGATTGCTTCCTCTGCTTCTGTTGTATATTAAACTCTTTAATAGCGTGGCCACTTCTAGCCTGAAAAGCCATTTACTTAAATCACGATGGCTCAAGGGGGGGACATTTCTCCAGCCTGTGCCTTTCCCACCAGGTGTTATCTGTGGTCACGTACGTGCCAGGGTTAGGTGGGACAGAAGGCATAGATGGTAAAATGCCAAACCCTGCAAGCCAAATTTTACTAGAAGTGAACACCACCAGGCAACTCTGGCAAAGGGGAGTAAGTAAACATCCAAGGAACTCTCTGTGCCTCAGTTTTGCTCTCCAAAAAGTGGGAACAAAAATAATACGTATTCCCCCTCAGAAGCACGAGTGAGGATTACTCACTTGTGCATTGCTCTGAAGTGTCAACTGCTACATCAGTCTGGCAAACACCAACAGACCTGACCCGGCTGGTGCTGCCCTTGAAACTAGCCCCAGGACAGCATCGGGAAACCTGTAATGCTGCAATTGCCATGAGTGAAAGCCACAGAGGACGACAAGGGTTTATTCAGTTCCTGTGAGCAAAGACAGTTCCTGTCTCAGTTTCTATTGTAGTAGCAAACTGCACATCTTTAGCACCGACCTAAGATGTGCTACAAAATGCTACCATGCTAACAAATGCAATGTTGTAACGGTTAGGACCAGAACTAGGAGAGAAATGCTCTAATACCTAGTGATAAAATGCATCCATGCATTTAAAAAAAACCCAAAACAAAAGAAAAGCAGCTGAGTCTGTATCAGTAAGTCTAAAGCTATCAGCTACACCACTGGAGTCCTCTCTGATGTGCTGCAAAGATTTCTGACCAAAACCTGGCATAAGTTAAGAGAGGGTTTATGCTTCATGTGTAACCTAAGCAATGTACGGACCGAATGAAAAGTCCCCTTGCTGATAAAGTTTTAGTTTTAAAAGTACGGTGTTTACTTAAGCAGCTAGGGAAAG